AAAAAAGAAAGTTTCTAAGTCCATCCAGAACTTCGTTATAACAATATTTTTCCCTTTGATAATATGTCCTGTAATAAATAAGTTTTGGAATGCAACTATGACAATGCTTTCTTAACAATCTTATCAATAACATGTGATAAATTGTGACGATTTGAAAGAAATTTAATTTAAAATGTTTTAAAAAGCCTTTTGAAACTACACTTTTTTTTTTAATCTATCTATCACAGTATTCTGCCAAAAAAAACTGTCACCTCCTTTATGAACTCGACGTCACATAAATCCACTAAAATATCTACGTGGTGTTGCGCTATTCCACGATGTCTTTCATTGCACCATTTTTTTATAAACATCCTTTTAATGTCCCCAGAATGCGCATGAGTATAACCAGTTTTGGAATTTTAAAAATACTCTTCTGCTTGCTGTTTTGTAGAAGGCAAGTCTCAAATTTTGATACTTTTTTCCCAAAATGCAAGAGCGAGGGAAGAGAAATAGTTAATTTATAACTTTCTTACAAAACCTAACCAGATTTACTGAATCCAAACGAAGTGATTATGTGTGTTGTGATTTCGTGCCTATCCATTATTGACGATATTGTCAAAAACGTTCGACGGAAAAAATACATAATACCGAAATATCTAATCTCATCAACATTTAAAAACGTGGAGTTGCTAACGTTAAAGGATTATAACTTTTAACTAAAACATCAATCATTATTATTAGCTACATGAAATCTTTAATGAAATTAATTAATTAATTAATTATATCAAGTGAAAAAAGTCTTTAATGAAATTAATTAATTAATTATATCAAATGAAAACAGTAATAATATTTTTTTAATAAATCCCCTCTTTAACTGCCGAAATTCGGCAAACTGGATTGGAGAATCCGAAACAATTTCATTTAGAAGTCTAAAAATGATGTGCCGCCATTTAAAATATACATATTATATAATAAAATCTAAAGATTTTCAGATTTTCTATACGCCCAAAGGGAATTTCTTATGTTTCATGTTACCCTTTATATTAAATATCATGTTCTAAAATGCATTCACAGCAATATCGCAATATTTTAAATGTTAGTTAAAATAAATATAAACCCTACAACACAGTCCCGTGCGATAAAGATAATTTTTTTTTTTTTTTTTCGTACAGTGTTTCCATTGCTCGCTATGAAATCCTTGAGTTTCTTAATCAAAAACTCATAAAGGCTTTACAAAATATGAACCAGCTAATAAAGCAAATTCCAAGTTCGGACTTCCAGATCCCCATAGGCGGTTGGAGAGGTACTTTATTCAAAATTTGATGGCTGTAGGTACTTGTTCACAATGCGAGAAACATACACACATTTATGGATATTCTTCATTATTTAATTCCTTTAAATAAAATACGAGGCTCTAATATTTGGTGGCAACAATTGAAAAAGCGATTCGCCGTTTATAGCAAATTAACGCAAAAAGTAAAAAATGAAATTAATAGCCGTTTTGGACAAATTGTCCCTTTGGGCTTTTAAAAAAAAAAAAAAAAAAAAAAAAAAAATTGATAAGCTAAAAAGTCGAATTTCAATTATACTTACGGAAGTGTAAAAAATTTTCAAAAAATTCGTTTCGGCAAAAAAGGTCAAAAGTTAATTTTAAGAAAAAAAAAAATAAAAAATAAATAAAATCAAGTTTAATAAAAGTGTTACGGAAAAAAATCATCCGTATTTATTTTCTGTTGCATTATTATCATTAATTGTGTTAACAAAATTAATAATTTAAAATGTTAAAAATGAAGAGTAACAATTCATATTTCAGGCTGATATCAAAAAATGCTCATCAGAATTTTTTTTTTAAATTCCCCCCGTCTTTCTTAATATTCCATTTTTATTTATTTATTTTCGAAAACCCTTGCAGTTAACAAATATCGAATATACAATTATTCATGATAATTATTCAGCCACAGAACTAACTACACAATGGAAAATTTCAAGCCTCTTTGAAACTGCTTTAAATATGCATCATAAATCGCTTTACATATCACTACCCAATTATCATGCATATATAACGTACTTAATAATCTGCTTCACAATGCTTCCACAAATATTCTACAACAAAAAGGGGAAAAACAAATCAAGGCCAAGATAAATAAGAAAGGATTTAGGGAGAAATATCCGGTTGATAGTACAGCAGTAGGCAAACAACCCACTCGTAAGAGGAAATTGGAACGATGAGCAATTCTTTCCACGTAGGAATTCCCAATGGCAGGAAACAATAATTCAGTTTTTGACCAATCACGTATGAGTGGGGTAGGATGTGACTTTTAATGAACAGGGAAAAAAAAATCGTATGCATTTTATCTTGAGTAAAGTACCACACATTGATTGATTCTCGAATAATTGCGGGTTAAAGATATAGTCAGCTCATTTAGAAACAGATGGCGAATCAAAACTGATCATAAAATAGAGACAGACTTAAAAAAAAAAAAAAAAAAAATATTAAAAATGCAAACGTTACGAAAGGGTTTATAACCTTATATCTATAATGTCAATCATTACAAATTTATTCAAAACTCGTTGCAAGAAAATCTCATTCTAAAAGTAAGACTTGTTATTTAAATTTGAACAGAGGTAAGTCTGAAAATCTCTTACCTGCCATTTACAATTCCACTGTCATATCTGATTACGCATACGGAGAGAAATGCTAACAATACTGCATTTCTACTGATAATTTTCAAGTCATTTCTCTTTTTCTACTGATAATTTTCGTAGTCGAAATTATCCTATATTGATTTCAATTTTCCGATTTTTAAAACCAAGTTAACGGACAATGACAACAAAAGCACTGCGCTGCCAAAAGCTAAAAACTAAATTACGAAATTATATATACTTCTTATTTTTTTAATATAACATACTTTAACATACCTTAACATCACTGGTCTATCCTATTTATTTGGATATACATTGAACCATTTCTTTCCGAGAAGAAGAGCCAGCTCTAAAAGTAATCAATATTTTTAAACACTAAAAAAATGTCGGCAGGTGTAACATAACACCTCTACACTAAAATCATCTGGAACCGTGGGTGATCTTCTTACAGAGGGTTCATTTTACCGTCAGTAATGAAAAGTTGGAATTATCTAAATTGGTATTATTTCTCCGAGATATCAATGATATTTTAAGAAATTGAGTCATCTTGAATAAATGTTCTGTAGAAACTAATGACAACAGGGGCTCAAACTTTGTTTTAATCTGTAATACAAATATTCTGGGATTCACATCTATGAGATTTAAAAAAAATTAAATCAATCAACTCGTGCTGTAGTTCTTATTAAACTAACTTAATTTAGATACCAGAAATTTAAAATTCGGGACGACGAAAAAAAAAAAAAAAAACTATGCTTTCCCTATAATTCTAATACAGTAAAATTGGAAAGAAAACTATGACTTCAGTTTTAGGGTAATGAAACAAAAACCAGTTTCATTGTTTTATTTTACACAGAAACAGAAAAAACATTGTGTCTTTTAAACAACTAATAAACACGGTCATCGCTTCACTTTCGAAAATTGCACATTTCGTATTTTATTTTCTGAAAATAACCACTACTTGCCCCCCCTTTTTTTTTCCTCCAATAGCAGGCAACAGCCGTTATAGGCGTTGGCCACTATTAAAGCCGGAAGCGGTGGTCACTTTATTATGGAGGCACCTGATAGGTGGGCCCACCGTTGCCTCTTATGAAGGAACGGACAATTTACATCCATGCCTTCTTCAGAATTCGAACCCGGGCCCTGCGGTAAGGCAGTCAGGGTCACTAACCACTTTCCTGTATGGCCGGTAAATAACCGCTCATTCATTTGGATGTTTACTCCGTGCCAACTGTAAAATTCTTCTCCTGTTGAAGAAGATGACGCAATACTAATTCGTCCTTTAAACCAGGGTTTTTTTAACCTTTTTTTCAGTCACAACCCCTTTTTATAGCTGAGATTTTTCCGCGACCTCCCCCCCCAGGACCCCATAACATTTACAAAATTTTGCGGGACTACATAAGTATAGCGCAAATTAGGTCATTAACTATAATTTATAATTTTAAGACATAGAACAATGTAAAAATTTTAAGTAAGTAACAGACGAAATGACAGCGTCACGTGCAAAGCAAGGAAAATGAACGTTTATATTATAAAAAGAATGCGTCAGAACGTTTTCGTTTTTTTTTTTCCCCCTTTGTCTGTATTGTCTTATCTTTACCTATTTTTTGGATCTATCGTGTGAAAATATTTGGTAATTGTAAAATTATTTTAATAAGTTAAAGAAATATTAAAACTGCTAAAATTTTTGGCAACTACTGCAGATCCAGCGACTCACAGTTTAAGAAACCTGCTCTAAACTGATAAGTTGTGTTGAGACGATGGTATAAAAGGCATAAACGGTTTAAGCCGAGCTGCGTTGCCAGGCAACCCAGTCTGTGCTACGTCACAAAATCTGGTTTAGGGCTTTTGGCGTAAAGTTCGAAGTTTTCAACTTTATGCCGACTTGGGATAACCGTCGACCAATCAGAGCGAACGCGCGAAACATGAATAGGAAAACAGAGCGGGAAAGCATATACAACGCATGCGCAAATTTAGCTTCTTTAAGTGGGTTACGCTTAGACCTGTGTCGCACGTGTGAACGGAATTCCCGCATTTTATTCCTTACGACTATGCCTCTGTGACATTTATGTCACCGTCTGAATGCAGCCATACATTTTTATTTTTTATCAAGTCTCTCACACGCTTAATTTTGCATTTTGTATCGAGGTGTCCCTTTTCTAGTTTCCACTTCTTTTCGGTTTTATAATTTACAACGAATAAAATACAATGTACGAAAAGATGTAATTATCTCATTTGCATTACAGTTGATAAGCCTACTGGCATACACAGTTTTTAAAGATTATCGGTACAGCTTCCAGTTTCAGTAACTCTGGTGTTATTGCAATTTGTATATGTTTTAATTTCTTTGACAAAAATATATTTAAAAAATAAAAAATTACCTTGATTCGACTCCTCTTTGACTACGAGGGTCTTCTTTCCTTCGGGGTCCGAATTTTCGATTGAAGGAGCATCGGATTTTTCTGCCTCGTCGTGGTTCTCTTCGGCGGCTTCTTCTTTCTTGACTGGATCAACTTTCTTCGCTTTGTTGTTGATGCAGGGAGCAATAATGCCGTGATTCCATTCGACTTCTTCCGTGATCCAGCTCACGAGGTCGTCTAACTTGAGTACGACACGATCGGAGGCCATCAAGACCTCATCCTGAAAGGAAGAAAAAGACATTATTACAATAACTGACATTAGGATAAGTAACGTGAACTAGGCTTATGAACGCCACGGTCATCACAGTAAATAACGGCAAAGTAAAAAATCGTGTTCTGCAGTTTTCCTTCGATTGGGTAAATTCAGATGCAGGATTATTAATGCAATACAACTCAATAAGGAAGCAGGGAAAAAATTCAAGTAATCAAGAATTTTCGTCAATAAGCGTTTTAAAAATGCTTTTCATATACACTATCGTCTACGTTAAAAATAAAAGTAACGATGATAATAAAAATCTGTATCAAAATACATGTTGCATTCCCTTATAGATTTAACTGCACTTACATCGAAAAATTTTGTTTTTTATTAGAGGCGGCAACAACACACATCCTTTTGTTTAAAAATCGAATAATTCAAATCGGTTAATACAAAGTTTCGGTTATTTCAAACAAAAGTCCCTAAACATCTAAGTTAAAAAATAATATTAAACAGTTCCGTGAATTCGGAATGAATTTCTTATTCCTTCCGATAATCCGAAATAAAATCCAAAAGTATCGATATTTTTCTTTACCGTCCACTCCCAAAACCTATCTGAGTATTTTACAATAAGTTTGCCCTAACATCAACGCTAAACCATAATTGATGGATCAAAGCATAATAAAATCTAAAATGATATTATTGCTAAAGAACCCTAAAAACAAGTTTTATTTTCCATGCAATAAAATGAAAATTACGCAATAACTTTAATATCCGATATGAAATGCTCAAAACAATAAATAAATAATTAATAATAAATAAATAAATAGATAAAATATAATTCAGTTCAACAGAAATATCGCAAAATAATTTAAAAAGAGCATATCTTTAGAGTTTCTGATACCCAGTCTCGCGCGTTGGAGATAAAAAGGTACCCCTCACAGTGTCGCCATTGCTCGCTTTGAAATCGTTGAATTTCTTAATAAAAAACTCATAAATGCTTTACAAAATATGAAAATAGATAATAAAACAAATTCTAAATTTGAATTTCCAGATGCCCATATTCGAGTGGAGATGTATATTATTCAAAATTTGATGTCTCTAGGTACCGTTGTTTTTTCATATTTCACAGTGCGAGAAACATACATACATTCATGCAGGTTCTTCATTATTTAATTTCTTTAAATGTAATGCTGGGACTCTAATGTTTGTTGGCAACAACTTGAAAAGTGAAACGCCGTTTATAGTGAACTAACGCAAAATGCCAAAACGAAATTAATAAATAGCCTTTCTGGGCTAACGCCCTTTGGGCTAAAAATAAACAAACAACTATTGATAAAGAAATTCTTTTTTAGCGAAGAATGGGCTAAATATAAACAAACAATTATTGATAAATAAATTCTCTTTTTAGAGTAGAAATTTTATTTCCAAATTTTCTAAAATATTTTTCAGTCCCTTCTCCGCCAGTTTACTTCATTTTAAAGCTGCTTTTTCGGAATATTTTAGGCAATTCTAAGACCTTTCGTTATTCATCCCTGTACGTAAGTTTGAATAGACAAAAGTCAGCGACGTTCGAAGATGCGAATTTCAGAGAAATTCGGTCCGTTGAACTTCGAATCCAAAATTCTTGTAAAATTTGCATCTCATGTCTAGTTACATATCATAAGCATATGCTTGTAAATATTTTTCATGGTTAATTATTGTTATAGAAAATTATTTAGCAATTATTATAAAATTGATTATATAAAAATCATTAATTATTATAAAAATGATGACCAAATATTATTAAAAAAACTTCTATTTTTTATGGAAATGTACATTTTATACTGTTAGTGTTAAGAAGTACCGTTTCATCAAGTGTTAAGATGGAATTCGAAGAATTAAACTCTGCTTTTCTTTAATATTCTGTTTTAACCATTTATTTACTTCTGAGTTATTACCTGTGAGGTTAACTGATTTTAATAACTGCACTTCTTAATGATTCACAGTTAAATAGAAATTTTTCAGAATTAACAGAACTTTCATTTACGATTATTCTTAATTCTAAATTTCTAGATTCTGAAATATATCACCGAAAGTATTTTTTTTTTTTTTTTTTTTTTTTTTTGACACCAGCTGTTACGTTATTTTCTTCCTTCACGTTCGTACGGGGTTCGTAAATTTGGAGTGAATAACGACGACACTTGATGAAGTATCGAAACACACTTTATTTAGCCAATATTAATCAGGACAGCTCCAAAATAACGTTACAGTCGTCGAAGAACAGTCGCTGGTACAATCAGCGACACAGCCTTCAGGTTATCAGACTATACGGTGGAGACAACTTCATTGCAAAGCACCAGAGTACAGCTCCCGACTCTGCTTGGTCGTTCTCGGAACTCCACATACTCTCGAGACTCTCCACGCTACAACTCGCGATGTACTCGACGACACACAGAGCAAAGCTCCCGACTTTTCGGTTCAGTCGTTCCCGGAGCTCAACACGCTACCTCGACGATGCACTAAGCGGATACACTACGAGACTCTTTCGGTGCACTCGACGACCCACTCGGCACTCGCTGGCCGGCTGTCAACGCGATCGACTCCGCAGAGATTGACTCGCTAGGTGAGCCACACACTCAATACTGACTCCATTCCATTCCATTCACCGCTGTTATACTGGGCCTAGCCTGCGTGGATTTGCAGGCTTTTTGCCAGTTGTCTTTAAATATGGCATCCTGGAGGTAAAAATATCAGTGAAGGTGTCACAGAGACAAGATATGAAAAATAAAGAGAAAGGTGGCACTTTGCGGATTATTACATCGTGGGGTGGTGTAACATGCAATTTAAATACAAGTGGAGTATGCAAACATAAAGAAATTACTAACATAAATTTAAATAGCAAAACATAGTTCTTCAAATGAAAGTACCGAATAAAGAGTCTTGAATAAACGATACTGACTGCGGACCAGCAGGTTTTATATAGCTTTCGGCTTGTGTTCGAGAACATTCTGGGCTAAACCGGTAAGAATGCGTTCCAGAAGATACTCCAATCGTCCATGGTATATCGCCTATTTTGTCGCCAAATGGGCGATTTCTCGCCAAATGTGACAACTTTGTCTTCCCTTTCTATTTTATGGCAACCCCTAAACCTGCTTTGCGGGGAAGCCATCTTACCGCGCTTGGACATTTCGTAACAGTATATTACCATAAAAACAAACTAGTAATCTAATTTGTATCATTATTTAGTTAGCTAGCAGTTTAACTATTTTAACTTTTATTTATTCAGTTGAATAATATCATTCAGCAATTAGAACATATTCTCTCTTCTTAACCCTATCCTTTTCATTCTCTAGGAACATAACTATCTTTTTATGAATAGCGATTATATACGCTGTATAATTAATCTCAAAAGGCATCTTAGAATGATTAAATGTCTGTATTATCAAAATGAAAATGCTATCGGCGTTGAATGATTTAACACCAATATCGAAAGCAAAAAATTATTATACTCGGTTTAAATTTCCATGATTTTAAAAGCCCAGGAGAGAAGGGTGCTAAAAAATAATTTCAAGCAACAAAAGTAATAATCCTGTGAAGTCATTAATTTCTAGATCATAACAGCGTAAATGGTGCTGTTACCCGGACAAAATGTAACTTAATAAAGGGAAGGAAAGGGAAAGGAAAAAACTCGTAACCCTCTGATTAATTAATTCTATATTAACTCTGACGCTTCAAAGAAAACATGCCAAGTGATTTATTAGCGAATGTATCCGACAGTGAAGAAAAAATATTAGAAGTTCAAACGACCTTTTTTGAAAGTAAAACAGGAAAGAAAAAAGGCAATTGCAAAGAGAACTCAAATAATCGTCTGCAAAAGAATTCACTCGGGAACGGATGAAGAAGGAAAAAAAAAAAAAGAAAGATTAAGCAATATACTCGTAATCGTGAAAAGAATGAGAAGAGACGAAAAATGCGAAGAGAGGCGGAGAATTAAAAACAAAAGACGCGAGACTGAAACATAATGAAACTTCTTTTTAAGTTTTTATTAAAAACGTCCCCCCTTTTAACCTTTCCCTCTAGTTAATTACAAAATATGCATATATCACAGAGACGAGTTAAAATCCCGCAGGCAAAGTTTAAAAAACTCTTTCAAGAACTTTATAATTATCTTTTGGAGCATTAAACAATAAGTAATTAGTTTTAGCCGTTATCAACAATACAGTAGTTGAACGCTGCGCATGTTAATGCAAGCCATGCAGATAATGCCAAATTAATTAGGAAATACGTGCCACAAGAGAATTTAATCTAAGCAAAATAAGTATATTGCATAATCTTTTAAGCGTGTTTCAGTAAATGGAAAGGTAAATAAAAGAAGAATATAACATTTTTAATTCACTAGATATAAAATACTCCTCACATAAAACTTTCAAATTTAATTTCAAATTCTTCTCAAAATTATTCCACTATTTGTTAGTTAAATAAAAACTCATATTTGTTGCCACAGAATTTTTCATCACATAACTTAGTTTTATTATTATTTATTATTTTTTAAATATAGTGTAAAGGGGCAATTTGTCCAAAACGGCTATTAATTTAGTTTTGGCATTTTGCGTTCATTCACTATAAACGGCGAATCACTTTTTAAATTGTTGCCACCAAATGTTAGACTTCTGTATTATATTTAAAAGAAATTAAATAATGAAGAATCGGCATAAATGTCTGTATGTTTCTCGCACTGTGATAAAACAATGGTACCTAGAGTCATCCAATTTTGAATAACGTCCGTCTCCAGCCAAATATGGGCATCTGGAAGCCCAAATTTGGAACTTGGAGTTTGTTTTACTATCGATTCCGTATTTTCTAAAGCAGTAATGTGTTTTTATTAAGAAACTCAGATTAAAAGATTATTAAGAAACTAAGATTTTAAAGGAGCAATGGCAAAACTGTACGAGAGGGGGAGGGATAATCTCCAGCACGCGGGACTTTGTATCGGAAATCCTAAAGATATGCTTATTTTGTGATACTGCTGTTGAATTTTATGG